TGTGACATATCGCATTTTGATTTGTTTCACTACAAGAAAAGTTAACTGATTAATCAAACTCTTGCCAAATCCGGTCATGAGGAATGAGAAAAATTATTTCCCATCCACAAAGACACAAGTTACTCTTTTGCTCATTTTTCAAAAAAGAAATGGAGGGTATTCCTCCTCAAACAGACTGTTTAGGGAAGGTATGTCCACCGGTGCCGCCATTTTTAGTTTTTAGTTTTTTTGCTTCAGTCTGCCTCTTCTGATCGACCACACTGACGTCGCTGCATTTCATTAGTTTAAACATTTTTGTATTTTTGGGAGTTAGTGAATTCGCAAATTTAGAGACAATTCATCTTGCTTGCAAAGTGAAGCTAAACATGGTGCAAACTACCGTAGTCATGAAGGAGTGGCTAGATCAATGCACTGATGCAAGAGAAAAGTAGGAGGTTGCAAACATGCAGAAGATGTTTCTATGGCGCCATGAGACCAAAAGTAAACATTATGGCCTGCGTTTAGATGCTGAAATGATTATTGTGAAGCATCTTTAAGAAAACCATCTCCTGTCGACACATGGTGGTGAATATTCTTTTGTCCACTCTTGATCTTCTACTCTTCCTCCTCTTGTTTTTTTCCGTCTCCTCTTTATTGCTTTAATTCTTCCCAGCATCCTCTTCTTCCTTGGTTTCTTACTTTGTCTCTTGGTTAATACTTTCCCTAAGTTTTTCCATTTTCTGTCCCTAGCTCCATCATTTCTAATATCCCTCCTCTCTTCCTGTTGTCTTTGCTTGTATTTGTCTTTCGTCCTTCCTTATGTCTTCTTTCATTAACATTCTTTCTGATTTTTCATCGAGTCCTTCCTGTCTTTCATCCTCCCTAGTGTCTTTCTTCTTGTTTATGTCCTGTTTTATATCCCTCCACCCTTCCATCCCTGTGGTTTCATCTTTTCTCCTTATGTCAATTACTTTCTTGTTTTCTTCCTTCCTCCCTCCCTGTCAGTCTCTGTTTACTTGCAGCTTTTCATATATGAGGACATATTAGCCTAGAAATTCTCTGTCAACCTTAGTATTCATGTTTTAGAAGAACTGGAATGGACTGGAGGAAATTTTCTCTTCAAAAATATCTGATATTTTTCTACAAAATGTGTATGACTTCTGCAGGTTATCAAGGTTTGCAATCATATGGTGACAAAATGTGAAAAGCTTAAGGGTGTAAATACTTTAGAAAGCCACAGTAGGTTATTGTTTGCATGTAGTGTGAACCTGGCAGCTCTTACTTTGGGTTGGATTACTTCTGAGTGAATTTTCTGATAATATACCTACATATCCCACACAGCACCAAACCCACACAGCTGCAGGATGCAGTATGCCTCTCGTTCTATAGGAGCTGGTGTCGTGCTGCTGGATTTTAACAGAACTTTTTCTTTTCTCCTGCTTTTCTAGGAGCGGCTTGGGTCCTGTGAGAGAGCGATGTCGTTTTGATGACCTGCTTGGCCCCGGTTTCCTCCAGAGATTGTTCTCCTCTCAGACAAGCGGTGCACATTGTCGCCAGGATATGGTTGGAGGATTCACGTGATGGATAGGTGATGGAGTTCCCCGCCGTCCGTCTCCCCCAGTGACTCGCCCTTCTCTGCATCTCGGGCTCAGGCACGAGGGTGTACCCGCGACCCACGACCCCTCCACTTCTTTGAAATGGTGACATAAGCGGCGGTGCAACATGAGGGAACGCCAACGTGACAGCCTTCTTTCCATGTTCAGTGGCTGCTGCAGCTGCTATTTTCCTGCAGCTTATTTTTAGCTCTGTAACAATCACCTCGGCTGTGAGAAATCCCGGCCTGCCTCGTTGTTTTTATTCTTTTTTTATTTTTATTTTCCCCCTCTGCCTATGCTGAGAGAAACTGTCCCCCAGGCGTGTTGCTGGGCCAGTAGGGCGGAGCAGTGCGGCGAGAGACGATGCTGGGATGCGTGACGCGCCTCCGTCGGATGGTCCGCCTCCTTCCCCTACAGACCTCCCTGCTCCTCCTCTTCCTCTTCTGCACTGTCAGCGTCTTCATCTTCTCCTACTTCCTCTATGGCGTCAAGCGAGAGCCGGAGCCTTCGGCGGTGGGCATGTCCGGACCCGACGGAGCGTCCGCAGACTCGGACTACCCGAGGGTCATTCCTTCCCGGCTCTTGCCGGTGCGAAGCGTCCCCGGGGTATCCGGGTTGGACCTGGGAGGGACCAGGACAGATCCTGTGGTTCTGGTGTTTGTGGAAAGCCAATATTCTCAACTGGGGCAGGAGATCGTGGCCATCTTGGAGTCTGGTCGGTTCAAGTACCGGACTGAGATTTCTCCCGGGAAGGGGGACATGCCCACCCTGACTGACAAAGAAAGGGGGCGTTTTACGCTGGTGATTTACGAGAACATTCTTAAGTATGTGAACTTGGACGCTTGGAACCGAGAGCTGCTGGACAAATACTGTGTGGAGTACGGAGTCGGCATCATTGGCTTCTTCAAGGTTAGGACACCAACACACTCCCTGTGCTTCCCTGCCTCCTATCCCTCACACCTTCTGCCCCGTCCATCTGGCTCCCACCATCTCCAAGGAGATGAGTTTTACGGAGCTGGAAAAAGCTGCCTGTTTTCAATATCACTCCTGTGCCATTTGCTCAATCTTATGCCTCTCTTCTTTTTTCTCTCTTCTTCTACTATCTGGCTTCTTTAGCTCCTCCTCTGCACTTTGTTCATCCTTGTTTTCTGTTCTTTGCCTCTTGCTTTTCTCTCCTATGCATTTCTCAGTCTATATCTCTCCTCCTCTGAGTTATCCCCAGAGGCCCCTGTTCGCCTGAGGCCAGTTTTCAGGTCTCATGGTTTTAATCACCCTATCTGAGCTGCAGAGAGAATCTAGAAGAGTGCAGGCATGGATGGAGATGTTTAGGGTGCGCAGATGAAAGTTAGCCTGGTGGGATTTTAACGCTTGTTGAGAGAGGAGAACAAGGATGTGCATCCTAATGGATCTAACCGAGTCGCTTTCTGATTCTTTTGGCTGCACCAAAAACACTTTCCCATCACATTTAAAACGAACATGATTCAGTATTTTTGATCAGATAGAGTAGAAAAAAAAAAGAAAAAAGAAAATCCCTTTATTGTCCCATAATGGGAAAATTGTGGTAAATGTAGGACATAAATCTTTCGCATCAGCAACTAACATATGTATGTGGATTAATAGCAATTTTTTAAGTTAGTTAGACACTTTGGTCCCCATTTGACTGAACTGCAAACTCAAGGTTCTCAGCAGGAGGGCTTGAGGGCCCTGTCATGATAAAATGCTCGCTATAACCCTGAACGTGTTTGCAGAAAGGGGCATGCAAATGTTTAAAACCAGCTCTTTTTTTATCCTTTCTTCTGAGCAGACTTTTTTTTTCTCAACTTTTTGAAGTGGTTTTGATCAATATTTCTCCAGGCTGTCTGAAAGTCTGTGTTTTCTCTCTTTTTTTTTTGTTGCTTTTAAGCCACTTCCCTTTAACCTATGAGTCATCAGCACATAAAAAGGCTCCTAAACTGGAAAAAAGGGAACCAGCACTTTTGACACAAAACAGACAACTTGACAAAGAACCAATTATAAATCTGATCTTTGGACACTTTGATGCCAAACTACCCATCACAAAGACATGAGCTGTCCCCGAATCTTTAGAAGAATCTATGAAAAGTACCAAAGATTTAGCAGCCTGAGACAGAGAGACCATTTTCAATCTCCAGTGTTTGTAAAGGTTTGACCTGCTCATAGAGGTCTAATCCATGTATTTTCTTGGGATTTTATGTATTAGAACAACAGAAAGTGGAGTGGGGATGCAAGTGGAAGGGAAATAATACACAGTTTATTTAAAGATTGGATGAAGAGTGTTAAAGTCATATTTAGGAAAGTCATATTTCAATTTCAA